TTTCCCTGAGAAATGTAAAGCCTCCTGCATCCCTGCAGAGCTCTGCCAGTGGTGGGCTATCCTGGGAAAAGCACTGGACTAGGGTTCAGGATAACCTCCCAGCCATGAAATAAGCAAGTTACAATCCTTCTGAGGCCTCAGTGTCCTAATCTATAAAATGGGAGTTCGGTTGTGGTGAAGCTCAATGAGTTAAGATATGATTGACAGATATGATTTCTGTCAATCACAAAGCATGATTCATCAGACATAACTTGCAGGGCATCGAATCCAGACTGTCTGCCCCAGAAATCTGCCTCCCTTTAAAGTCAGTGTTCCTGCCACAGGGCTGTAAGGGAGAACAGCTTGTTATTCCCTTTGATGTCAACCTCAAAAGACAGAGGCTGCCTCCCAGCTCATTCAGTTTCCCTTAACAGGCAATCAGGCCTGTCCCTGACAAATTTCTTTCAATGGTTTTTGAAGTTACTCATATTTCCCTCCTTCTTCACCACCCCTTAAGATACAAGCTGCTCCCCTTATTTCTCCTATGTGCCTCCTTTAAGTTTTGGGGACCCATGGACCTGGGAGGCTATGCCAAGCTGTGTTCTTGCTACAGGGGTGTCAGACAGATCTAGGTTTGAGTACCAGCTCAGGCAAGCATGAGCTCTGCAACCATGAATACATGGGCCTCAGTTTTTTCATCTGTAGAATGGGAATAATAATGATGATACTCAACCAATAAAGTATTATTTGTCTTAACAATGTCTTGCATGGACGTAGAACAGGCTAACCTAGAGAAGAATGGGATCCCAAAATTTGGCAAACCAGGAGGTCAGGTGAGGGCTGGGACCTTGACCTAAGGATGTGGGTGAGACTGTAGGCACAGATGGAGCCCAGACGTCTGACAGTCCCATTAGCCCAGCACAGGTTTCTCATCCTCAACATGGTTCACTTTGGGATGAGATCATTCTCCATTGAAGGAAGCTGCCTGCACATTGCAGGACATTCAGCAGCATCCCTGTCCTCTACCCACTAAAGATCAGAAGCAAAATGACCACCAGCTGAGAAACCATGCTCCAGCAGGCTGAGAATGACCAACCACCTCAGCTCCAAGATCCCAGGATGCAAAGCATCTGTCCTGGCAGAATGGCGTGTCAATGCATGGCAGAGCCAAATGGCAGGTGGTCTGCTGTAGGCAGCCTGGCAGCAGGCAGCAGGGGGCATGGATCAGAGCTAGGACCCCAGCTGCGGGCAGCCCAACAGTCAGGCAGGGTCAGATCACAGTTCATATAACATTGAACCTGGGTGCATGCTGCTGTCCAGGACCAGGACTGGATTTGGGGTGTGGGTAGAGCCAAGCCCTTGGAGAAGGTGGAGGGGCTTACTTGCCCATGTTAGAAGGGTGTGGGGGGCTGAAGGCCAGACTTCCCTCCCACCCTGATGACCTTCATGACTTCTAGCTGGAGAGCCAGACTTCTGGATAAGAGGACCTGGCTCAATGCCAGGCTCTGCTGTAGAGAAATTAAACCTAAAAAAATTGCCCCAAGCCCCAGACACTGCCACTTAAGACCAGAAGACCACCTTAGGCAAGTTGCTTAACCTCTAAACCTCAGGTACGTCATCTGTGATATGATGACATTAATGTCAGCCTCACACGGCTGTTGTCAGGATTAAACATGCTGTTGGAATGACTGTATTTAGCGTTGTGCCTGCCCCATAACAGGTACTCAGTCAATGCTGTTGAGTGAATGAGTGAAGCTCCTGCAGCAAACCTTCCTCCGTAGTCCTTTCATTGATTTAGTTCTCGTCTCTGGAATTTCTCCAGCTTTCTAATATAGGAAACTTGACTTCTCATAGAGAGGAAATGAGTTATTCATCTCTGGGTCACTAGAGCTTAGCACGGGGCCTGGTACATATTAGGAGCTTAAAAAATGAAGTTTTCCTTCTTTATAGGGTAATGACTGTGCCTTACTCATCTCCGTATAGCCACAGCCCAGCCCAGTGACTGACACCCAGCAGGTGATGGTTAGCTATGTGTTGAATGAATGAATGAACATGCAAAAAACGGTTGAAGAAAGGCATCCAAATGCTACCCTAGGATTCTTCCTAAGAGCCCATTCCTGTATGTCCATTTAGCAGGAACATCACTGCTCACTGGCAGGAAGTCAGCCAGACCCTGGGGAGTAGAGCAGTGTCCTCACGGAGACAGTGGGTGACAGATATCAGGCAGACTGGGGAAGGTGTCAGGCAGAACCTCCACCCCCTGGGTGGCTGTTGTGGGCCCTCCCCCGAAGCCCCAGTGCAGACTGCTCTGCTCACCCCAGGGCACTGGGACAATCTTATAATTCTCCTTGCACGGCAGGCTCCGGGATAGTCGTTTTCCTCCCTGCTCCAGATGGGGCAGTGTGAGGTCTCGGCAGGTCAGCTCCACAGGCCAAAAGAGACAGTGTGGTTTGCTAGGAAGACCCACGGCTGGGGAGTCAGGAGGTCTGGATTCTGGCCCCAGCCCTCTCATGCACTCACACAGTGACCCTGCATGGTCACTACACTCCGTGGGCCTCTGTTTCTCCATCTGCTCAATGGGGACTTGGCAGTGCTTTGCAGGGCCTCTATCTTTTAGTGCCTGGCCAGGGCGACAGGTCCATCCACATGTTACCAAGCATGCAATGACCTACATGGGAGACAAACCATTGACATCAAGGCACTGCTGGATTTCACAAAGCCATTGGGTTCCTAGCCACCTCTGAGCTAAGTCTGATGAAAGTTGTCAGGGGCAGGATTCTCCAAGGGACCTAAAGATTTTCCAGAGAGACACTTGAGGGTTATCACTGACAGAAGAAAAATGTTTATGATAGAAAAAGTCATGTTTTTATAACTCCGTATCATTTCCCCTTCCTAAGGTACAGAATCAACTACAAATGAGGCTTTTCCCACCTCTAAAGTCTGTGTAAGTGGTGGGTGGGGGAATGCTAGCCTGGAAGAGCTCCACAGAGCCCAATTCCCTTGCATAAGAAAGGAGCCCATAAAAGAGAGATTTGGGGGTTGGGTGTAAAGGGAGGAGCCAGTGGCTGAAAACAATACGTCTGAAGAGGAGGCTGCTGAGGGTAACAGTTTGGGGATAGAGAGAACTATTTTTTGAGTGAGAGGGATGGGGAGATGCACAGCGATGAAGGGCCTGAGGGGAGTGGCTCAGCCTTTCTGGGCCTCAGTTTCTTCATCTGCAAGGTGGGCATAATAGAACCTTCTCCGTAATGGGAAACACTTAGAATTGTGCCAAACACGTAGTAAGGACCACAGAAGTATGTTCAGTGAAGTGGTGGTGGTAGTGATATAAAAAACCTTGAAATCTTCAGTAGAATTTGTATCACTTAGGGATGGTCCCAGCAAACTGCTCTCCTGGAACCCAGCTGAGTGCCAGGTCCCATATCAGCTACCCAGCTACATCTGGTGACCCTCATGCAGCCAGAACTGCTTGGGGCAGACAGAGCTGTCACTGGAGCTCTGTGCATCACCAGGGATGCCCCCAGAGCCTGCAGCAGTGGGAGCCGGGCCCAGATAGGCCCAGGGGGTGTGGGGCATCTGCCCTCTATCTGGCAAAACCATCCAAAAACTACCATAGGCTGAACTTTGTCACCAGCCTGCTTCTCACGAGGACACTTCCACCGGCCAGGAGGCACAGACATTCCAGTTGGGCTGGCCCCTCTGGTAAGCTGTACCCATCTGGGTGACATCCCCCTGCCCCTCAGCCTAATAGGTTCCAGATGCTCCCCTCCCCACTAAGCCTCCCTCCCTCTCGTGGTCCTGAAAGCCAGCGTGCAGGCCTGCCAGCCTGTCTGGGGCCTCCTCACCAAGTCACTACACCTCTTGGCTTATTTTTTTTAATTCAAAACATTTTGTTCCCCCTTAACATGATGGCTTGACAGAGGCCAGCATGAAAGAAGCTGTTTCCTCCTGGATGGGGACCAGGGCAGAGAGGCAAGCAGATGAAGGCAGAGAGAGAAGAAAGCTGGCTTTGGGAACGTGAGGAGCATAGGGAAACACACAGAGTCTGTATCGGCCGAGAATGAAAGAAGCGACATGAGTAGCAGCTGTGTAAAAGTGGCCAGGCCGTCTGGGGCTGGGCAAACACACCGGTCCAGCGGGTAGTCCCACGGGCCCTAGGCTTTCATGACTCATGTTCTGCAGAAATTCCTTTTAGTTCATTGTCTTCCTGCTGCAGCTTTTTCTCTCCCCTCCCTTCCCACCCACTCTCCTGCCCCCTTTTACAGAACACCTGAGTCTGGCATTGTTGGCAGTGGTCAGTAATGAGACAGGGCTCTTGCTGAGGCCAACCAGAGGAAGAGGGAGAGTGGACAGAAGCAGGAGAAAGGAAAGACAGGCGCAGAGGGAGCACAGGGCTGGAGCACAGAGATGGCCGTGAGACAGAGGTGGTGGGCAGCCGACCCAGGAGGATAAAAGTGCCTGACTCACAGCTTCGCAGAACCCAGGACAGGCCCAGGAGACATCCGGCAGGGAAGCAAACCAGAGACTCAGCTGCACCCCTGCTGCTTCCTGCTGGCTTCCAGTTGTGTGTCACAATGACATGGAGAGGACGATGAATGTGTTTATAATTGATCTCTCTAGGTTCTGTACATTCCTGACCTCTGGCAATGTGCCTTGATGCCAACCACCCCATGTTCTGCGAAGCAACCATGTACACAGGTTGGGTCAGGTCCCGAGGAGCTCCTTTTGTGGGGCGGGTAGCTGAGGCAGGAAGGGACTGTTCAGGAAGTTAGGGCCCCAGCAGGACTGTGCCTGGAACCCAGACCTCTGGATTTCTCATCCAATAATGTAAATATGGAGATGAAATAAAGGGGGAGGGATTATACTGGCAAAAGTGGGCCAGGAAAGTACAAACTTCGAAGACCAGATGGAAACCCCTCAGCTGAAGAATTCTTGGACACTGCCTCTAAGGCAGCCCCCCCAACCCCACCCCATGTCTTTAAAGCAGTGACACTGACTCTGGCATTTTCTCTCTCTTTCAGGACCTCCTGTAAGTAACCAGTCGACACCTGGTGTCACACATTTGAGAAGTCTTGCTCCCTGCTGGTAATGGGGCCCTGGGTGGGAGGACTAATAGCTGGCTCCTCTGTCTTCCAGGGGAGCCCCCACACCCTCCACAGAAGTCTGTGGGGTCCCCCCAGAAGGCTGACAGAGGAAGGAGACATTTTGCTTTCCACCCCCGCCCCTGCACCACTCCAGGGCCAAAGGATGTCTGTTCCCTGGGCAAAGCAGGTCCCAATTTCAACCTGAAAAGCTGACTTGCCCCACTGTTAGCACAGTGCCTTTGTCCCCCAAGGAGACAGCTGGAGTCAAAGAAGCACCAGCTATTAGAAAAGAAAGAGATAACCTCTCCTCAGTTCTGGTCTGGGAAGGTCTCCTGCCCATTCAGAAAACAGGTCAGTGGCAACCCTAAATGTGGACTACTGAGGACATGATGTCCACACCACTGTGTGGGCAGCTCCATGCTGGCCAAGTGACTTTGGGCAGCTTGGTGGTGTGGTGGTGGTATTTTTACAGAAGAGAGCAATGTCAGCAGTCCAGAATGGGAGACGGTGCAAATTATGGACAGCCTTCAGGTGCCTTCCCCAGCGTCATCCTGAAGCCCAGGGTGAATGAATGAATGAACATGCAAAAAACGGCTGAAGAAAGGCATCCAAATGCTACCCTAGGATTCTTCCTAAGAGCCCATTCCTGTAAGTCCATTTAGCAGGAACATCACTGCTCACTGGCAGGAAGTCAGCCAGACCCTGGGGAGTAGAGTCCTTTCCAGAGAACCTGAGAAGAGCCCAAGGAGACTGTCTCCCCGAAGTAATAGAGCCAGAGAACAGGAGCATGACTTCTTTGAGGACAGCATTTGATACCCCAACAAAAGACCCAGAAGTGGCTGGGGGCACTGGGGACTGGATTGAAAGGGCCAGGCCTCCACATCAGATCTTTCTCAAGGTTGCTGAAAGCAGCCCTGTCATCACCCCTCCACCGGAGAAGTCATTTCCATGGTTGTTTTCCTCACCATCTGTACCTGTGAGAGCAACCCGCCCAGTTGCCCCAAGACCATTATTTACTGTCCCATCTGTGAGAGGTACATGAGCCCGTGCTGACGACCCTGCCTGGCTCCCTGGCTGCTAAGTTACAGAGACAGAAAAATCATGTCACTCCCTGAAAGGAGGAGGGATGACTTCTCATGGCATGTTTTGGACATCAGATCTCAATTTCTGTAATCAATCTTCCAAACTAAACTCTGCCAGAGGAAACTTCGACAGGCCACCTGCTGGAAATGGGCTGCGTTTCCCCTTCTTTTTTGACAAAGCCAAAAAGAGTCCTCACCTCCTTCCCTCACTCACTCGCTCGCTGGCTGGCTCCTGGGACTTCCCCCATCCCCTCACTGCCCCAGGCCCGGCTGCTGAGCTAACCTGGCCCCATCAGTGCTGGGTCCCTGCCTGACTTGAGGGCCTGCCCTCCCTGAGAAAGCAGCATTCCAAGAGCTTCTGAGGGCCTCACCCGGGATAGCCTGTGAGGGTGCCACTCCTTGGGGGCCCTGCAGTGCAGGAGCAAATGAGGGGGGAGGGATGAGTCCCCTTACAACCCCTGCACAGAGGAGCCCAGGCAGCTCTCCTGCATTCTCAACCTGACACAGAAGGTTCTGTATCTTCACCCAACTCTGGCTGAAAGCACAAGGCAAGGTGAGGAGAAAATGGGCAGCTGGCCACGGTGGGAATCAAGTCCTAGCCCTGTTTGCTCTGCTTCCTGCAAAGGAAGACTGCTGTTGGCCAGAGGCTGGGAACAGGGTAATAGCAGCTTGTCGCAATGCTTGTCTGCCGCCTCTGGGTGCTTCACAGGGGCCCCTCATGGGGTGGCGCTAGACTCCATTTGGAAGATCCAGGTTCCTGTGAGCACAAGGACAGCTGGTGCTGGAAAACATAGCCCTGGAGGATGGATTTACTTATCAGCAGGAATTGTTTAAGTAGTAGAAAATTTGTGGCCACCACTGCCTAACCCCTCATGCCCATGACAGGCATTGCTAATCAATCAGGAGGCTTCTTAACATAATGCTTTACTCAGTCATTACCAATCCTTTGGAGTCTGTAATCAAGCTGACATCTGTTGGCCATCTCTGCACTAGACTTAAGAGAGAATTTCTTAATTATGGGAACTGTGAGGCTAAAACAGATGACCAAGGGAAGCAGGGATGTCTCTTTCTCTGGAGGAATATAGGGAAATATATGATGTCCCAGCTGCCAGCCCTTGGTTGAAGTTATCCTTGCTAAAAAAAACTAGCTAACACTATGTGTTAGGCACTGTTGTGTTCTTATGGAGGCAGTGTAATACAGTGATTACTAGCATGGGCTCTGGAGCCAGAACCCCTGAGTCCAAAATCTTGGCTCTGCCACCCCTGGCTATGTCACCTTGGGCAAGTTACTTTACCTCTCTGTGCCTGTTTCCTCATCTGCCTCATCCAGGTGCTGTAAGAAATATATATATAATTATATGTGTGTATGTATGTATATATGTTTATGTATGTATGTATTTATTTTCATTTAGAATATACTAACTCACTTAAATCCTAGAAACAGAAGGCTTCCTTAGATGATCCACAAAGATTCTGCCAAGACTTTCATTTTAAAGAAGAAAGTATTATTCTGTGAATTCCAAAATTCATTTATTATTTCATTTATTTCTACCCCACCTTATTCGAAGATACATTTTAGGCTATTAACCAGTTAAATGAAGTTTATAAATTATAATGAAGTAGGGTGGAAAACAAGGGGACTCTAGAGCCGATGACTCCACAGCGTCCTGTGCAGAGGAGCCCCAGACTTGGTCCTGATCTCCCTGGTGGGCAGAGCAAAGAGGAAAGCAGAGTTGCTGCAAAAGTCAGGCTGCAGCAAGGTAGGACCAGCCCTGGCATTTGGTGAAACACAACTTTTCCTAGTAGTACTGAGACGACCTGAGAGAAGTTGCTCCTGTGTGCTGATGACATAGGCGGTCAGTAGACAGGAGCAGTAGGTAAACTGTCCCTTCTGTCCCTACTTGGGGTAGACCCACTGTGTGAGGCTGGAAACCCTTAGTAAATGCATTCCCTTTTCTGCAGGAGGTTAAGCAGCTGCCCCCCTTCTTGGCCCATTTCCTCATGGTGTCAGGGCAGGCAGCTTAGAAATGATAACAGAAGAATTTTGGCTCCGCGCTAAAGCTGGGGTTAAGGAGGATCCTCAGTACCTGAGCTGTCCTGTGGGAGCCTGGGAAAGAAGGAGGCTGAGTTCCCAGATTCATGGTGTCCATCGTCAGGTTAATTCATTCAGGAGCTTATGTGTTAGTGTTGTGGGGATAAAATCCAGCAGAGTGAGGGATGGCGATAGGCCCTGCATCCATGAGGGCTGTTACCCAGCATCCCCCAAGTACTCTGTGGACAAGTCCCTGCACCACTGCCTCTGGGATGTCCTGAGGAATGAGGGACAGAGCTGGGGACTTATTCCTGCGCTGCCTGTGTTTGCCTCAGCAGCCCTGCCCTGCCATGGGTGGACTCGTCTCACAGTGGATATCCTGAGACCCACTCCTGGTTCCGCCTTGGGCGGATGGAAAGAGCAGGGTGTCTGGGAGAGGAACTGCACCTGATAGCAGAGTCTCTGGAGGCTAGAAGCAGAGCCCAGCTCCAGGCACCTCCGTTGCCTGGCCTCTGCCCTCCTAACAATCATAATCATGAGCATTTATTTAGCACTTGCTATATGCCAGTCTCTGTGCTGTGTGCTCTACATACATCGTCAAAGAGATAGACATGACTGATCTCCAATTTACAAGATGAAGAAACTGAGACACAGGGAGGCCAAGCAACTTATTTACAACCAACTAGTAAGTTGCAGAGCCAGGAATTGAGCACGGATAGGCTGACTCAAGAACCCATGCTCTTAATTTAGCCCTACTGTCTCCCCTACCAAGAACCGCATCTCTCCCCTACCCATGCCCTGGCCACACCAGGAGTAGGTTGAGCTCTAAAAGCTCTCTCCAGGTGTCTTCTCCCTCTTTGCGAGGTGCTCCCTGAAGCCCTCTGAGAACAGCTCTTAGAGCAGTTTCTCATCCACCCTCTCTTATCAGGTCCTCTGGAATTTGGGGGTGAGAGATAAAAAGACATGACTTCCTTATAATTTGCTTGGCTCCTTAGCACCTCCTATGTATATTGCTATGATGATCATTATTAGTACTAATAGTACTATTTGCTGAATGTTTTCCTCTTTTCAGTGGGATTTCAGATCCATTACATGGAGTTTTTAGTCTCTGCCAGAACTGTGCTTGGCAGAAGTACTGGGATTATAAATAAAAGGTTTGAGAAAGACATGGCTGTGGTCAGTGAAGACAGACCCCTGGAGCCACGCAGGACCCCGTGGATGGTGGGGTCCAGCCTCCTGCCTCACGCTGAGCACTAACTCATCATGCATTGATGGTCTAAAGCTAGTTGGAGGCTGCAGAGGAAGGAAATCCCACCTCCTCCCACCCCACCCCAAAAGAGGGGAAGAGGCCCCCTGGGATGCCCCCCACCCACCCACCTTCAGCTCCCTGGCATGTTCCCTGGACTCAGATGTGGCAGACTCAGCAGAAGTGCTGGGTGTCCCATGGCTGACCTGATACATTAGAGCAGAGACCAAGCTCTGACCCCCCTGGGCGCTTTGCAGTGCACGTGAGAGGTGGGCAGATCATTGCTCTGAGTAGGGCAGAAAGGCTCAAAGAGAGGGAATGTGTTGGGGAAGCCCATAGCCCTGGCAACCCTTGAGTCACTGGAAGGGACATCCTTATCTTTCTGTTCCCTACACCTATCCTGGGCCCGGCATGGAGGAGAACCCCCTACCTACTTTGCTGACAAATGAATGTTAGAACTGAAAGGAAGCTTAGTGATCAAGGCCCTCTCTCCATTTTGTTCATAAATCAACAGGTTCATGGAGCACATGTGACTCCAAGGTCACACAGCTGGGTGGGCGGTGTGGGGCTATCAAGCAGTGTAATACCCTGACCTGCGGAGACTTCACCCTTTCTCCTTTGTTTCAGGGTCCTGTTGGAAGACCTGGACTCCCAGTAAGTAGCTTTCATTTATTCTCTCCTGTGGGTCTCTCTCATGTACTCTTCCTCATCTCAAGGCCTGGCTCAGTTGGATGAAAAGTATATCTGGCTGAGAGGCCCTTCTCCAGCACTTCCAACCTATAACTATGGATGAAGCTCCTTGGTCCCCTCTTGGGGCCCCAGGCAGGCAGATGACAGCATGCAGGCCCCTTCAGTACTGGACCCAACTTCCAGATTGATGGCCCCATACTGTGGGGCTGGAAGGGGAGGCAGCCCACTGGCTTACTGGATATCCTCCTGTATGTCAGCTTATATTAAGACTGCTGTCCCCACTTTGTCCTATGTCCTCTGTGAGAGTATACTCAAAACCTTTGTTCTCTCCCCAGTTAACATTTCTGAATGCTAGAGAGGCTATGTCAAGTAACCATGGGGCTTTGGGACAAAGTAAAAAAAATAATAATAGCTATCTCTTATTGAGACTGTAATAAGTGCCAGGCACTATGCTAATCACTCTTTATACATTTGGTTTCTTCAGCAACTCAGTGAAATGAGATTTGTTATGCCCATTTTATAGATAAGGAAACTGAGACTCAGAGAGGTAAAACACCTTATCCAATTGTCCAAGTTTCAGTAGGAGACCTGTTGGAGCCCCTTGTTATCACACACCATTCCGTACTGCAGTTTCCTGGGGTCTGTGCTCAAAGACATTTGAGAACCATTCTAAGGCCTTCAAACACTGCTCTGTGGGGTGTAGCCTGGGCCACAGGTGCACTAAATACTGGATACAGTGGGCCCTTGGATGGGTAGTGTCTCAGACAAGATGCTATAGCAGGCCAGAAGGCCAAGGTGGGGCATGGAGGGTGAGCCAGGGCTTCCCTCTCTCCCTGAACCTAAGGTCTTATCCATTGGATTCCAGACCCTTCTGTGCATCCTAGTTATCCCAGTTACTCCTCTTTCAGACATGAATTATATTGTAACCTCTTGACTAATCCAACAGCTTCAAGAATTCATGTCCAGCAATCCCTTTCTTAATGAAATGCATGTGGGAGAATGTTTAGCCTTGAAAATGGAAACTCTCCCAGTAAGTACAAGCCCTGGAGCAAAGGAAGACGGGTGAATAGATGAAATCCAAGGAGGGGAAAAATCAGATGACTGAAGGGAACGTGGGCAGACTTTGTTTTTTCTGACAATGTCCACCTTTAAAAAGCATTTGGGGCAATTCACGAAGCAGGGGCCACTGTACAACTTTTCAGTCTGTAGCCATTCCATGCCCATTCCTAACCAGAACATTTTATGGCCAGGACTGCAAAGAACATTAGTTTTAAAAAAGAAACCAAAACACCACCCTGCAATATCATTCAAAATCCCAAGAGCAAGAGGGCTGTGGGGGTGTCCCAACCAACATCCAGTGGGCCTGGTGTCCTCAGCAGGAAGGGCAGACCACCAATCCACGGGTCATTGTCCTGCCCATGCTTCCACAGGGAAGGGCCTGGGAGTGAGCCACAAAAAGATGTGATGTTGGTCCCTTGTTGTGAAATGCAAAAAGTGTGAAGTACAAACATGCTTTTAAATGTCACTTGCCCATGGCTGTGCTGGGCTTACTACTCATAGTAAATAACTTACTCACAATAATGTTACTGCCATTTATGCAACCCTCACGAGATGCCAGGCCCTGACAGTAATCTTTCCAGAGATGTGGTCTCCTGGCATCCTCCCAGCAGCCTCAGGAGAGGGACACGAAGCTCAGGAGGTTAAGGAAGCAGATCCACTCTATAGCCAGCGCTGCTACCCTGCCACTCTTTTGCAAAGGCTGATAGTTTTACTAGAGACAACATCAGTCTTGACAATGTATGTGTTACAAGAGCCTAATCACAGCACTGATTGCCATTCTCTCGGGCATCCACATACATCTTGGGATGCTAATTGTCCCTCAAGGCATTTTGCTTCAGTGGGGTCAGCAGAAACAGAATCTCCCCAGAAATGCTCACACTTTTCAGGGGATCCCACGAACCCAGCTCTCTCCTGCATGGCAGGCCCAGACAAACACCATCTGATTTTTGGCCCCCATTGCTTCCCATCCTTTCAGGCTCCTGGCAAACCCCAGGCCCCACCCCAGACTTTATGATGTCTGCACACATATGATTGCAAAAAAATATTTTCTACCAAAGGGGGAGGATCAAAACTTAATAAGCAGATTTCCAGAGTGAGAAGATGTACCCCTGGCTACGAAACAAAGCGGTTCCCTCTGAGCAGTTGAAACCTGTGACACAGCTGAATTCACATGGCTCACGGTCCTTCCTGTCAGTGCTGGGGGTGGCCAAGAGGAGGGGGCTTGGAAAAGGACTGTCTGCAACCTTCAGAGACAGAGGCTGGGGGAGAAGGCAGGGAGCATGGGCACTTCTCCCTAGCTCAGGCGCAGACAGACCCAGGGAAGCAACTCCCTCACCTGGCACACAGGAGCTGCCGCTCACCCTGCTGAATGCCTTGAAGATGAGTGTGACAGGGATGCAGCACAGCCTGCAGTAGCTCGAATGGATTGTGACAACACAAGCCTAAGGGAGGAAGGGCCTTAGACCCCTCATGGAGCATATAAGGAAACTGAGGCCCAGGCTGGGAACCAGACTCCTATGTTAGTGCTCTTTCCCCAGCACCATGCCTGAGGCAAGCAGATATATGGGGGCTGCTTGCCAAACCGTCCGTGGAGGCTGAATGAGCAAGTCCACAGGACGCCTGGGTATCATCCTAAGTACGCATGCAAACCAGGTTTTGGGTGCATAGCTAGCCCGTGGAGTCTAGCACATGCTGGCCTGGCTCCAGCCACATCTAATTATTTCTGCCTCCTTCATCAGGGAGACAAAGGTGCCATTGGGATGCCTGGACGTGTGGTGAGTTGGTGCATTTGTACCTGCTTGGGTGGCCATTGCTTGCTTCTTCCATGCTGGCCTGTCCTCCAACGCGGCAAGCTGTTGCCTTCCCCAGCCATGAGGAGGAGGGTTGGACCTCTCCCTTCCCCACTCAGCTCCACCTCAGAGAGGAACAGGCGAGGAGGAAGGAGGAAGTTTTTTTCTGAGACTTCAGATCTTGCAATATGACCTTGCTCTGCAGAGAGCCGCCATGGCAAAGGAAAAATCCAAGAAACTGCATGAATAAAGCTCTTTGTCCATCACCCACTGGGCGGCAGGGTAATACACCAAGAGGATTCCCATCCGTTCCACTCCCTGCCCCCTGAGGCGAGCAGCCCACCCTCAGATTTACAGCCGCTCCAGCAAGAGCAGCAAAAGACGGTGAGAAACACAACCTCAAAATGCTCCACAGGAACTTCGGAAGGGTCCGTTTCAAGGGGCCTCTCCCCTGGACAGAGGCCAGAAGGTGGTAGAGACAGGACTTGCTTCCAGGCAGTGCCTCCAAATCTTTAGCAAGAGTCTGGGAATCAAACATTTAATGTTTCTTGTCAAAACTTAAGATGGCAAAAAGGAAAGGAGAATATTTGTTAAGAAGAGTGCATTCAGAAACAGGAGGGCTGATGCTGGGCCCACCCTCTGATTTTTGAGGCCCAGCACCAGGTTCTTCCTGATGGCTCTAGAAGGGGCAGGAAGTCTCCTGGTGGCAGCCTGAGGCAGTGATGGCCACACACCAACCACACCACCACCCAGCCTAGTCTAGGACATGGTCTGAGCTCCTCTCACTGTCTGACCCCTAAAACCCCACCAGCCATCAGCCTCAACCTCTACCCTGGCTCCTCAGTGCGCCCGGCTCCCCCCACACCATCTTTTCCTGTCACTCTCAAGCTTTGCTTCCTATCCTCACCTCCTGGGCTGGGCCGGCCTTAGGCCTGGGTGCAGTATCCTTGTGTGAGTTTGCTCACCTAGAGGAGCCTGGTGCTCACAAAAAAGGCATCCAATCACTTGGGAGTGTTTCCTGTGTGCTGGACACTGTGCTAAGAGCCTACTACGTTAGCTCATTTGGTCCTCCTTAATGACATAGGCACAATTTCCACTCCCAGTTTTCAGATGAGAAAACAGACTCCGATGTTAAGTTTCTCCCAAGGTCACATGGCCAAGAAGCAGCTGGTGGGCAACTTTAAACCCGATAGCCTGACCCTACACCTGTGCTCTTGCGTCTGACAGTGCTCTTCCCCAGTTGACATCATAGCTCTAAGGAGGGTCTGAACCTCAGGGTGAAGCCGCAGTGCCTAGGCCTGGAACCTGGGACATTTCAGAGGTTCAGGACAAGTGCTCCAGGTCACAGAGCTTTGAGCTCCCCTTGGCCTGCCCAAGGGCTGCCTGTCAAGAACAGAAGTGTCCACCTGAGCCACTGAGTCCATCTGACCCACAGTTGCAGTACGGGAGGGAGAGCCACAGGAGGTCTTTTATACAAGGTGTTTTACTTCTGTACAAGGCTGTTTTCAAGCTACTTTGGGACTTTGATGCTGCTGGTGCTGTTTTAAATGTAACAATGGACCCATCCAGCTGCACAGTAGGAGGCCTAGCATGAGCCACCTGATAAGGCCTGGGGTTGCCAGTGTGAAATGCCTGTGTTGTTCCCATGGTTCACCAGAGGTGGTGCCACTGGCTTCTATGGATCAGGGTGGATTGGGGCTTTCTATCCATTGGTCACTATGGTTATAGGGGTCCCTTGGTGACTTTGTTTCCTCTGCATCCAGATCCTCCATTCTCCCAGATGTATGTGTCCTGTTGTCTGTCCTCCCATGTTGCCCCGTGCACCTCACCCATCCTGCCTGGCCAGACCTAACGACTCCAGGCTATGTAGCATGGCAAAGCTTTGTGCTTGGCTCTCACATGGACCTTCAGATCACCTCACTACACAGTCGTCTGGAGTCTCCCCCTCTCACCCCCCAGCTCAGGTGACCCAGCCCGCTGGGGCCATGGCTTCTCAGGCAGAGTCTCTGACTTGGGGGTGGTTTTCCTTCTCTCTGTCTCTCACACGCACAAACACACATACATACTTCAAGAGGGTCTCTTAAGGCCCCTGCCACGGTTTCTCTCCCAGTTGTCTGGACCGGCTGTCTGGTTGAGGCAATAGCCATTCTTGTGTGGTGCTTGCTGGGTGTGGGACCTGCCACGTATCAGCGTCTGTGTTTTATTTTGTTATTTCACAGCCATATCTTTTGTTGATCGTTGTGCCATTAACACGGATTCTTATGGGTGTGCCTCTCTCATCCCTTCTTTTTTCTCTCCTTCTCTCCCTCTTTCCTGTGCCCCATGTTGCATGTGGCCGCCCTAGGGAGTAAAGGGCCAACCAGGCGAGAAGGTGAGTCCACGCTTTGCCTATCCCCTCTGCCCCAGCCTCCGTGTCCACCCAGCGGACTCTTCTGGGGCTTTCAGAGGCTCACAACTCTGCCCTCATGGCCTCTGTGGCCCAGTTTCCTAACAGCTTCCACACTGTCGGGCAGGAGGCTTGAGGTTCCTGGGCTGAGGTCCTAGCTTCCCTGGCTGAGTGGGTCTCCCTTGCCCACTGAGGCTGCATGTGGCCTCATAGCTCTGATTCCCGGCCTTAGGCAGTCTCCCTTCCCCGGGGACAAGGAGAGTGCCACTTTCTACTCTATGCATCTGGTTCTAGCCCATCCCCAGCCCACCACTGGAACCCTCAGACTTAGAAGGCTTTGCATTGCCCCAGAGACAGTCCTCCAGGGAAATGCCCAGAGGCTCCCAGGGCTGTAGGATGGACCCCTGGGGAAGCCAAAGGCCCAAGAGACCATCCTGGAACATCAGCCCTGGTGGGTTCTGGGGGCTTACACATCTAACCAACTCACTTTTCCAATGAGGAAATGGGCTGGGGCTTGCCCTCGGTCCCACAGCACCAGTGATGAGTAGGGGCCAGGAGGCAGACCTCCTGGTGCCCAGCTCAGCACACCCTTGCCTGTACTTGTATGTCTGCAACAGAGTCTCCCTGTGCCCAGTAGTAATAGTGGCAATAATAATAATAGCAGCTACCACGGCTTAAGCACAAACCCTGTCAGGTGCACTTTCAAGTGTTTTGCCTCTGTTCTCCCAGTCAGCACTGCCACAGGGGACATTAGTACTCCCACTGACACGAGAGGGAACCGAAGCACAGAGAGGCAAGTCACACAGCAGAAAGGCACAGAGCTGGAGAGGAGCCCCAGCATATCTGACCCAAGGCTGGGAGGCAGTCCTCCACATGGAGTAAAAACTTGTCAGTCCTGCCCTCCCAGGGAGCTCAGCTGCCCAGGAGAAAAACACAGGGCCCAGGCAACTGTATAAGGGTAAAGGTAAACACTTCATATGTGACACATTCTTTTCAGCATTTGCACCATATCTCTTGAAATTTTCAAATCCACCCTATGAGCCAGGTGCTATCCCTGCATTACTTATAAGGAAACTGAGGCAGAGGAAAGTTAAGTAGCCTAATGTCCCATAACTGGGAGGGAGCAGAGCTGTGCTTCCAACTGGACCATCCTGCCTCTTCACATTACAATACACGGCCTTGCATAAAAATCACTGTATAACTGCAATGGCATAAATAGTTACTAATTTGAAGTCACTCCTGAGCTGTATGTGAGGCATGATATTTTCAGATGCATTTATGTCCTGTGCCCTTTAAGGGCAGTAGAGCAGCTCTCAGCATCCCAGTTCACAGAGGAGGTATGTGGGCTCAGAGAGGTTCCCTGACGTGCCTGGCAGAGCAAGACCTGGAAATAAGGCCCTGGGTGCTTGGGCTTCTGGGAGGCGTGGATTCCTGGTGGGGAGCAGCCTCTGCCCTCTTTCAGCAGGGTGCAGTCTGCAACATTCTGCCCAAGCAGCACCTCTCATTCACATCTGTGTTCCCTATGCCCTCCATCCTTCTCCTGTCACCCCTCCCACCACACACACACACACACACACACACACACACCAGACATACACTACATCACACACACACCACACCACATGTACACACACAGACACATACATGCACACCAGATGCACACATACACAAGGACACACACACCACCACGCACACTCACACACTACACCACACACACACCACACCACATGCACACACACACCAGACACACACAGACACATGCACACACACCAGACACACAAACACGTGTGCACAGAATCACACACATACCACACACATGCGCACATCACACACTTGCACACACAAACCTCACACACAGACACATGCTCACATGCAC